GCCTGGAAGGACTTTGGAAACAACAAACCTGAAGACCTTCCTACAACACATTGGGAAACTGAGGTATACAGGGGCAGAGGCTCCACTGGATCCTCCACCTCCAGGTCTCCTCACTTGTCGGTATTCCAGAGCCCAGCCCCCACCTTCTCTCCCCAGAGAGAAGTTCCACGACTGAGAAAGACTGAGTCACTTGGGGGTGGAGAAATCCCATGAGAGTCTCTGGGATTCTAACATTTTAGAGACAAAGTTCCACATTTTCCCTGGAGAAGGGTAAAAATCCTCGGTTGGAGGCTATGAGCAAACAAGGAACAAACTGTTCCTCCCACCTCTTACTTCCTAACCCCTATAAGGGTCACACTTTCCAGAGGGAAAGGACAAGAACCCACCAAGCCCATGCCCCTACCACAAACCCCCGGCTTCACTACAAACTCGCCAGGTGACGTCTCCCTAGCCCTCTTTGGTCAAATGTCTGGCAAAGGTCAATTCCTCAGCCCCCAACCAGGGCCACCCAGCTGCCTCTCATGGGAGGGGGGAGGTGAGCATTACTCTCCACTCTTGGGGTTGCATGAATTGTTATTTAAATTGTGGGTTTAATTAGAAACCACAGGAGCCTGCCTGCTCCCTCCCAGCTCCTGGAATGCAAGGCATTTGAGGGGCCTGCAAACCCCAGGGGAAAGGGAAATACCCTTTGTCTGCCTGGTAAATTGCAGCCACCCTGGCAGGGTGAGTGAGTGACCGCCAGCTGCCTGGAATGGGTTGCCTGCAGAGAGGCAGCGGGGAGGCAGCTCTGTCCCCACGCAAGGCTGGGGCCCAGTGGAAGGCACAGCACAGGGCCACCACTGCTCCCCAAACAAGAGCAGCTTATCTGTAAAAGACCCGAGCCTGGAGCACCCAGCAGCCACTACCTGCAGCTGTGGTTCAGGCTCTGTGTCCCGTGAGGGCTGCCTCCAGATGCTGACATGGTAATGGCAGCCTTTCTTGAGACTCACTGAGCTTAAATGACACCAGGCCAGGGAAAGAAGGGGGTGGGAGAGAGCAACGTCTCTCATTTGATATTTCTACTCTACCATTTGCAGAACACATTAGGGAAAAAATTACATACATGAACCACTGTCAAACAGAACAGTTCAGATGCTGGTCAGGTGCAGGGTTCTATGTCTCAGAGTTCAAGGGACCAGCTGTCCAAATGGAGAAAAATGATGTGGCTGCTGTATATGACATCTAATCTCATTCCTCCCATCCCAGACTTCCTCACTGTCTCTTTGCAACATGAACATCCTCCATCGATTTTGCAATGAGGAAGGGAACAAATATTTCTCCAAGAAAACAACATCATGTCTGGGGACTCGCTGGGGGGCACAGAGGGCTGGGAGAGGGGAGTTAGGCTGCAGTCTCCATAGTAATCTAGAAATCAGCATTCCAGCTCTTCTCGGAAGTGCTCTGTAATTTGTGAACACGGAGGCTTGCAGCATAAAACCAAATCTTTGTTCACCCTGGGACGGGAGCTCTGGGAGGCCTGAGATTCAGCAGGCGCTATCTGTATTTTCTAATTAAAATGAGATCTGAGCTCAGGCTGTCACGGGGCCCCCAGCTGCCTGCACTGCTTACTTCCGTTCCAATAAGAATTTACAAATCCTAAAACCAGGAAAAGCCTCTGGTCTCTGCTGACATATGGTTCCAGTTATACCTGCTGACAGTTGAAAATCCTTTCATTTAAAAGGGGGAAAAAAGTTTAGAATTCTGTTAGTTTAAGAAGCAAATCAGAAGGTTCCTAAAAATGTATATTTAATCAATTTGCTTTCGAACTTCAAAGTGAGGTTGGTGGAGGAAAGGGAATTTGAAGTTTGAGCAACCCAAAACTCGGCAAACACTACACTGAACTGTCTGACCTTATGCAAAATCACGTCCTAGTTTTGGGAATAAAAATTTAACCAGGTGTTAGGAGAGTTGAGCAGGTAGTCAACCCGAGCACCATGTGAAGTGCCACAGGCCCCAGCCACCAGGGCTGGGCAGTGTGACCACTGTCCAAGCCCAGGGCTCAGTGTAAGTCAAGATGGCCAGGCAGGAGGTTTGTGTGAAGGCTGCTGCTCTTCTAAGTGAAAAGAAAGGGAATGAGTTGTCCTCAGATGTGGGCTTGCATTCTTTGGTGGGATTGGTTTTGCTTTGCTTTAAAATGCCCCAGTTAGTGAACAAATCCTGTATATCTAAAAATTCAACCAAAAGAGATCCAGCCAGGACTTCTCTGTAGACCAAGCCACCTGGGCCCACACAGGACAGACGTAGAGCAGAGATGGGAACCTTGGCCATTAATCCTACCACTCCATAAGGAGCTGACCAACAGCAGAAAGAGAGGCTGTCAGGATGCTTGGCTTCCTGGGATGGGCGCTAAGTCCTAGGTGAGTACCTTTCCTGCTTTCAAACAAAACTACAGACCCTAGGTCAGCCCCAAGCCCCTAAAGGACTTCCACAGGTTCACAAAGTAGCCAGGCTTGTCCTGAGACCTGCTCCAGCCTCCCCTTAGGGCAGGGCCTTGTCACACTCACCTGGCAAGACAGCAAGGGCCTCAGGGGCCTGCTCTCACCTCTGGACCCCCAAGCTGGGGTTCTAGAATTCCACCACACACCCCCCCCCCCTCAGGCTCTCTGAGCTGGTAACAACCAGGGAGGTGGTTGTACACGCCTCCTTTCTGGAACACATGTACTGCTGGATAGAACTCAATCCCTTCCAACAGTCTGAGGCCCTGGTGCTTCTATCTTAGGGACTTGGTTTTGTGGTAGGAAGCAGTCTGCAGCTGTTCATGCCAAAAGGGAAGGACTGGAGGAGGGTGGGTGTTGCCACTTGGCCACACTTCCATATGCACCAGTGAGAGCTGTAGTTGCTTTTGTGAGACAGCTGCACTTGTGTGGACAACTGGGTCCTCTCCTCATGCCCTCAGTGGAAATGTACCTTGGTGGGGCCACTCTAAAGGGTGACTTTCGGCGGAATCCATTAAAATTCCCAAATGCACATAGTTTGTCCCAGCAATTTTACTTCTCAGTATTTATTCCCAAATGTGCACAAAGGGATATGGGCAAGGATGTTCAATGAAATAATAATGAGAAGCTGCAAGCAACCACTACATCCACTGAAAAGGGAATTGCTAAATTAACTGTGCTAGCTCTATACTATGTAATATTATGCAGCAAGTACAAACAAACAAAAAAGCAGCCGCTCTATATGAACATAGTTCTCCAAGATGTAGCTCTGAATGGAAAGCAAGCCAAGTTGTAGAATGATAAATACATCATCTTACCTACTTACAAGAAACAAAACAGAAACCTGTATCTTTATTAATTTAAAGAAAAGGCCTGTGGAGATGGACACCCCAACCTGACCCCTCTTCTGGAAGGAGGGAGAGATTGGGATGGTGAAGGGGAGTCGGAGACTTATTTCTCTGTAATGTTAAAACATTTTCAAACAAGGAGAACCTATTCGTGTACTATATGCAGAAGGGAGCTTGTTTAAAAGCACTCCTCTTCCACAGGCTATTTTTGGTATGGTAGACAGACTGTTTCCCAAACTTGCCTGAAGACAGGAATGGCCTGGAACTCTTGTTAAGAAAACAGATTCCTAGCCCCAGTACTCTGTATATTTAACAAGCAACCCAGGTGATTCTTATCAGGAAAGTTTGGGAAACCATAAGCTAGAGCCAGCCCCTGCCCTGCCGGTCTAAAGGCAAGCCTCCAGATATTACTCTGGAATTCCACGTTCCCCAGGTATTTCTCGGCCCTGTTCATTAAAGTGAAGCAAGAAGTCTGTGTTAACTGCAGCTCTCTGGCTGTCCTCCCTGGGGGTCGGCTGGAGGAGATGACCCAACATGCCTGGTCCGGCCCAGAATCTGAGACATGGAGGTATCAGCACCCTCTGTGCGATCCTGCAGGAGGCTCTAGATTGAGCAACTCAGCCGTGCTCAGGGCTGCGGACTCAGGACGCCTGCCCTGCCCCCACCGCCCTGCAAGCAGCAGCCCAACAGGGGTCCTGGCCCTGAGGACCTGGAAGGCTCTCTGCCCTAAACCACAGCAGCTTTAGGCCAAGTCCATCTTGCTAGCAGCAAACTTGTTCCAGAAAGATCACGGGCCGAAGGCACTGCCAAGAGGAGCCACTGCAGAAATGCACCAGGAGTCTCTGCTGACATCTCTCTGCCCACATCGCTCAAACCTGATGAAAAGGAGGGATGAGAGAGATGGCGCAGCACCATCTTCCAGGAGTGGCTGGCCCACACTGTCCCCACCACCACATGGTCACCTCCATGTGCCCTGTTGTCTGTGCAAATGGGCAGCCACAGGCTTGCTGGACAAGGAGTCTCCGTACTGCTCTCCTCTCTCCACAAAGTGGGGGGGCAGCACCCCACGAGGCCCCGGATTCTTGCCAGGCCCTGACTTCTTTCTGCCCTACTCCAAAGCAAACCACACGCGAACACACTCGAGAACGCTCTCAATGGTCCCAGCCAGACTGTTTTCTTATTGATTCACCATTAAGACTGTACATTAGTTTCCTTAACAGTATTGGGGCCATGAATCTGTTTGGGAGCCCGATAACCGACGAAGTTGTGGCTGCCACAATCACGTTTATATATAATGTCTTAAGCACATTAGAGGAAGGTCATGAACCCCAAGGTAAGACCAAGAGGCGAGTCTTGAGACCCGCCTCAGAGACACTGTACCAGTGGAGACAGACACACTCTCCGCCTTAGCAAGGTGGCAGGTGCAAGACCACGTGGTACTTATTCCATCACAATTCACAGTCATTATTCACCTGGCTAAAAATACAGTGTGGTGTGTGACAGGCCTGCCATTTGGCTGTGTGGGGGTCACTGAGAGAGAATGATGGCCTGGGGCTCTTTGTCTCCACCTGCCAGCTTGAAACTCAGTGACCCTGGCCCTCTCCCACACTCTGGGGGTCAGAAGGGCTCCTTGGAGGTGAGCAAACAGTGTTCAGGGGCAGCAGCAGTCAGAGTACCTCTCTGTCCCCATTGGAGGGCTAGACAGGCCTGGAGTCCTGGCTGTCCTCTGGGACCCATCGTGACACAGGCCCTCAAAGTCCTGAGGCCCGGAAGATGGAGGCTCTGTTGCCATGCCAACAGAGAGATGGCATTAAAGAAACAGGGATTCAGGAGTACGAACAGGGCTTCAAATAACCAGGAAGATGCTTGGGGAAGAAGCAGAGGACAGATGTTGTGCACAGGCACAGAAGTGGCACAGAGGTAAGCTGGGTGGTTCAAGAAGGACAACTGACAGCCAATAAAGGGTCAGCTTGCCTGGGACAGGGAGCTCCTGCCACTTTTTGAGTGTTCAAACAGAAGCTATGAGATAGCTTTTGTTTTGAGTGGAAGCTCAGCTAACTGGACACCACTCTCAGTATTTTTTTAGCACAGGCTCAGTACAGAGCCCACACTCAACGTAGGCATAGAGATCGGAGCCACCCCATAGCAGAACCTCAGCTTTAAGGACTGCCCAGGTGGGTGGCTGTTTCCAGACCTGCCACCATGGCCAAGGCAGGCAGCACTTCCAAAGCCCCAAGGCTGACCGGTGGCAGCTGGTCTGCAGCAGCCTCCTGGGGCTGTGCAAATACACAGAAAGGCAGGTGGCACTGCAGAAAGGACAGTCCAGGCAAGCGGAGCTCTGGAACCGGCTCTGCTACACACTTGCTGAGTAACTCCAGGTAACCTGCTTTATCTCTTTGAGCTCCAGCAGTTCACCTGTGAAATGGGGCAGAATGGTCTGCCTTCTCAGCTTCACGTCAATGTTGTAAGGAGCAAATAATGAGATGATTCATGGAAGTGTTAGTAATTTACAAAGAAAAGGCTATGTCCTTGGTAGAAAGCAGGCAGCACTTCCTGGGTGCCCAGGATAGAGGTAAGTGCTGTAAGGTGCAAAAAGCACCTTAAGGCATGGTCTCTGCACAAGCAAAGCTGCAGCTCTAGTGAGAAGAAACCCCCAGCCACGGCCCAGGTCATAACCAGGGAAAATGGCTGCAATTAAGCAAGACAACAGCTGTCATATTTCTCAGCCACAAACAGGAAAATGTTTGTGAATGATCCTTTTTTCCCCTTATGCCTTGAGTAAGATGCACCTCCTGGTCGCGGCCTGACCACCTGTGCTGGAGACAGCAGTATTCTTCTCTACACCCAGTGTCCAGGGCTCCAATGGGACCACAGAACTGGGCTATGGGACATCCTGTGCTGGCACATAAGAAAGCACCCCCACTCGGTTTTCCCTGTCCTCAGCTTTGACCATCATGGACGAACTCTCCTTACAGGTGCGCAAATAAATCATTTCTGACATGGTTAGGAAATTAATTTGGGGAAGATTAATTAGCTACGTTGAACGCACTCAGCCACAACTCCTGGAAATCAGACGGTGGGGAGGGCACTTTTCCACCCTGACTTAGAAGGAAGAAAGGGAATGAGCCCTAAGGTCCAGTCATGCAGAGTCACCTCAAAGTTCTAAGCCCCCTCTTGCATGCACGAAGGCCCCCGCCAAGCTCTCTGCCCACAACCCTCTAGCGGCAGGGAACTCACGACTTGGCAACACAGTCCTTTGGGACAGTCATCACTACTAAAGGAGTCTTCCTTAATGCAGCGCTGAAATCTGCCTCCCAGCAGCTCCCAGCTGTTTCTCTGCACTGATCTAAGGTGTTCCGTTGTAAATGTTCCTTTATAGACCTGCTGGTTACCTGCCCCATGTGTCAGGAGGTTTGGGGGGATCTGAAGTGGTCACCACTGGTCTTTCTAGTCCTGCCCTTCCCATGGCCACAGCTGCTTGCCTAGACACCTGCAGGCTCCGACTTGTCAGGGAAGATGCATTCCTAATTACAGCCTCTGTCAGCTCCTCTCCAGCCCTGCTTGCTCAGCACCTGCACCCCACCCCCTTTCAGCCAGGACCTACAGACAGAAAATTCAGTGCATCCCTCCTGAGGACAGAAATACCCAGGCACTACTGAAAGGGCCTCCGGGAGATAGTCCAGTCCACTGGGTCTCAAACTCTTTAGTGTGTCTAACTAACGCAAAGGAAATCTTATATGAAGATTTCCAACATGCACCACTGAAGAAAGTGCCACCACCCATGGTCTGCAATCCGTGAATCCACTAGGGACAGGAGGCCCTGGGGTGGTAAACTTAGCAAGGTCAGTGCTAAACACAGGTAACCAAACCCATGTTTACTAACTCTCAGGTCCACACTGTTTCTATAATACCTATACAGCTATCTAATTTTTCTCTTAAAGTAATCCTTAAAATTTACAGGGCATACCTATCACAACTACCCTCCAGGAAGATTACCTTGCTCCTCTTATAAGGGCCACCACCTATCACCGCAGATGGTTCTTTGTGGGAGGTGGGCCCAGGCCAGGCTGGGTCCATGTGGGGTCATCAACTCAGCCTACCTTCATTCTCCCTGAGCTCTGACTCCACTAGGCTCTCCTGCCCTGCAAACCCCTTTAACCCCGGTCCACGTTCCCAGACAACCCCTCCTCTTGGGCTTCCTGCTCAAGGGGGTACAAATGTTCCTTCTAAGGGTTTGGGGCCACTGCCTAGAAAATGCTCTTGCACCAGCCCTGGTTGTGAAGAATAAGAGTGGGATTTTCTTCTTTCTCCTGCAGAGCTAAGGGCTAGAAGGCTAAGGGGAATGTACCAGCCAAGAGCAAGATCATGGCTGCTGGATGATCTTGTAAGTAAATGACTTGATCACAAGTCATTTACACCTCTGTCCTCAGCTTCTTCACCTAGAAAACGAGAGGGCGAGTACATGTGGCTTACTTAGAGGGGGCCTGGCACACCACGAGGCTCGATGAGGATCAGGTATGACTGTCATCGTCCAGTCCGGCAGACTGCCTCATCTCACGGGGGAGGAAACCAAGGCCTAGAGAGCAGGAGGGTCTTGCTAAGGTCATCTGGGCGTTAGATCTCCCACCACGCTTCCGAGTAGGCAGGTGACATGGCAGAATGCTTATCAGCAGGGTGACAAAACTGGACTCCTGCCAAATCCCGACCACGAGAGAACTTAAGTCATTTGTTGACCTACGTATGTATAGCCTGCCTGCTTCCAAAACTGGTCTCAGACAGCTTAATTCGAGGCATTTTTCTGTTCCTGATAGGCACAGCCTGTTTGTCTGCCGCTCCCTTCCCAAGAAGGGTTCAGGAATGCCCGTGAGGCTTTCTCACGGTAACACGGGCCTGCACAGTGTGCTCACAGGAAAAGTATGTAAAGCAAAACAGCGGAGCCCAGAAGCCAAAGGCCTTTCCTGTGCAATATGGTACCTTTCAAAGCCAGGGATCTGTGCCCCATCCAGGAGCTGGGAGCAAGCACAAGTCCCCGAGCGTAGCCTCTCCCTCCAGCGCGTGCTTTCTGCGCTTTTGCAGAGCCGAGGTTAAAGGGGAGGACAGCTCGGGCCTGGTGCAGCATGCGTAACGCAGGCCAGCACAGCGCTCTGTGTTCAGCAGCAGAGCGGCGGCGCAGGAATCCATGCTAAGCGAAGAGGCCCATTAGGATGATTCATGCACTTTCCCACAGGGAGCTGAAAGGCAGGCCAGGCACCTCTAAGCCACAGCAGCACTGAATGGCTGCTCGCCCCACGGCCACAGACAGGCAGCAGTGGCTGCATTCACCACCACCAAATGTGAGGGCTTCTGATTATATTCAGCTTAACAGGGGATGCTCAATAAATGCTTATTCATTTTTTAAAATTATGCTGTCTTTTGTTGTCTTCCAGCAACCAAGCCTCAATGAACTCTGTATGTGCCATTATCTAGGCTAGGAAACTGTCCCTGTCTAGGCTAGGAAACTGTCAGTCTTGTTCACCGTGTGCCTACCTGTGCCGGGCAAGGCGCTCTGTGCTGGGGATACTGAGGAGAGGAGAGGTAGGCCTGTTCCCCCTGCTCTTGTGGAGCTTCCAGGCCCTACAGAACACAGGCATGAGTCAGTTCACCTCCCCAGGGAGGGCCAGCAAGTGCCAGGCAGCGGGAGTAGATGCACGGGTGACGGTCCTTTCACACCCTGCCTGAATCACAGCTATCTGCAAGGTCTGCCTGCTTCCACCGCCCGCCCCTCCGGGAAGGCAGGTTCTGGAGTGTGTTCCTTCTTAATATATTACAGCATGGCACCTGCACAGCAGGGCCCCAGCAAGGTGTGCTGGGCAGGAGCCAGGGGCAGGGCAGGTGATTGCAGGGCGGTGTTGGGTTCTGAGCCCTGAGCTGCAGGGCTTTCAGCTTTCTCACCAGCTCTGGGGCTCTACCTTCTCCAAGGTGAGGTTTCCATGCTCACCAGGAATCTTCTTCCTGCCGTATGGAGGAGACTGAGGCAATGAACCAAGGGACAACATAATGCCTGGCACGTGCAGACATGGGCGAGGGCACCAGGACACTGGCGAACAACAGAAAGGACACTGTTCTCACCCTAGAGCTGCGGTCCCCAACCCATTAGGAAACGGGCCACACATCACCACCTGCCTTCCACACCCCTCACCTAACCCATGGAAAAATTGTCCTCCATGAAACCAGTCCCTGGTGCCAAAAAAGTTGGGAACCGCTACCCCAGAAGGCACAGGCCAGGTGCCTAGTCATGCCCAGACACAGATGCTGAAGCAGGGACTCGAGGGCAAGCGGTTGATGTGACAGGAGACAGGTATGAGGGGTGGGAGAACAGGCACGAGAAGGAAAGGTGGCTGGGAAAGCGGGATCAAGCCAGCTACCGAGGAGGGCAACTGGAGCTTAGTCTGACAGAGAAACTCTGGGAAACTGTGCACGAGCCACCCCTCAGAACAACCTCCCTAAAGGTGAGGGAGCTGGGGGATGGTCAGACCCCCACCCCCGGTAGAGGCTGCTCCATCCTGACCTCCAAGCGTGTGGCAGAGCGTCCCCCATTCCTAGGTTCTGGAAAAAGGCCCCAGGCACGGAGGTGCAGATCCCAGCCAGCTGGAGAACGCCAGACTAGTGAGGTAGGAGGGACAGGGTGGGGCCCTGACAGCATCTGCTGCCCCAGGGAGCGGACGTGAGCAAAGAGGTCCCTTTTGGTGCCTTTGTCCCAGCTGAGGCAGCAGCAGCAGCAACAGCAACAGTGTAGGTGGCAGGAGACTGCCCAGGGCTCCCTTCTGCTTGGCCCCTACCTGGGTCTCCATGTCCCATCTCCTTTCCCGAGTTTCTTTCAAGTAGATAATGGCTTTGCAAATGCAACGGAGACTAAACAAAATCACAGAGTCCCCAGAAGCCACCCGCCCTAGTGCAGGCTGCCTCTTCCTGCAAAGCCCACGTATCATTTTCTCCTGGGTTGGGGTCACTGTCCCAGGGACCAAGCAGTTGCCTCCCTGAGGAAGCCCATAGACCACACCAAATGGGGACACTGATGGGTCTCTTTAGTCCCTGCAGAGGCCTGCAACATCAGCCTGGAAGCTTCAGGGAGAGCCCAGGGCTGTTGTGCCGATGGGTGGGCTTGCACACGCATGTGAGTGCTGTAGAGGTCTCAGGGGAACACAGACCACGCTAGGGTGAGTCTGTGTGTGGACCAGGCTGCAGCCCCTCACAACTGGCTGGTGGCGGGTGTACCAGCACTGCCAGGTCCCATGCCACTAACCTTGCAGCTGGGGGTGCTGAAACCCAGGCTTACTCATGACCTCAAACACACACAGAAGCAAACCCCCTTCAGCAACGACTTTCCTGACGTCATCTAAAAACCAATCTCCTCCTTCGTGTCAACAAATACAGCTCAGGTCACAACCACAAGCGTAGAGAGGAGAGAGCTCCAACCAAGAGCTCCTATGGCACCTTCGACCCGGCAATGCCAGCTCCAGGGCAGGGTGAGTTAACTGAGAAGACACACCGTGCAGCGAACAAAAGAAGTTAAGGAGTCTACTTGTTGATTAAAACAAAATTCTTGGCATCTCAGTAACTGACAAAATCAGGTCTCAAAACAGTAGTTATAGTAGGATTCCACTTTTCTAAAATATAACATCAAAGACATGTGTTTATATGACAGAAAAAGGACTGAAGGAAATGAAGTAAAATATAGCACGCACAGACGCACGCTCCCTCCCTCCCCACCACCTGCCGTTCCATGGGGCAGGGCTGCTCTGGTGGACACAGGACCACTTGCTTCCCAGGCTCAGGGAACCCTCTCTACTCCTGGAGCCTCCTCCCCACAGCTCCGGAGCCCTGGCTGCACCCAACCCAGATGCCTAGCTTGCAGACACGTAAACCATTCTAGGTCACCATACCTATATCTTGAAAACCCCTGTGGCCCCAAAGCTTTCAACACCAGCATGGTCCAGTTGGCCGTGCCCAGCGCCAGCCTGGCACGAAGTGACGGA